TTCAAAATACTAGGGTGTCAGACCTACAAGGACCTTGGAGGTTAGTAGGTTCAACCCTCTCACTTTATAGATGTGGTGCCTGAGCTGTAGAAAGAGGAAGTCACTTGCCCAAGGTCACAGAGGTACTTAGTGGCTGATCTGGTTTTGAGATGACTAGATCTTCCATTTCCTAGTCTCTTCCACTGCATCATGCTGCCTCCCCCATATTTTCAAACTTTCCTAATCAGGAAATTAAAAGTTTTGACAGACAGGACATTTCTAGCCCAAAGGAAGGAAGAAAGGAAGGAATTGTTGTGGCATACATGTATTTTTAGTTAATGGGAATTAAAGTTAAGTTTGAAAAATAATGTTTTTAGTTCTGTAGTCCTGACAGCTCTGCTGCCGCCACCACCCCCTGCCCACTTGCCAAAAGTCCGGGTTTGAATCCCTTTATTTTAGAGGGCAGGTGCCAGGTAGCTCTAAATCATAGGTATAAATAAATAAACAAATAAATAAACAAACAAACCTGGATGGACAGCACACAGAGGAAGCTTTAACGAAACATTTCAAAAATAATTTTGTTAATTACCATATTCCGCCATTTCAAAGATTTGGAGCAAGCTCACAAACGTTGCTCTCCTTCCTCCCCTTGACCCCATTCCACTCACAAGTACAAAACAACAGGGAGGGTGAGGTCCTCATTTTTGCAAAGTTGACTTTTTGATGGCCAATCTCTTGGGTCTGAAGAGTGAAAAAAAATGTTTTTGGTGCCAAAGACCTTAATTAATTTGCTCTTGTTAAATTCTAATAACTTGACCCACTGGAGCAGAGAATGTCCCATTTGTTTTCTGTGAGGCTCTGTCAACTTCTCTGCTGGGTCAGACAGTGTCATTAGAGATGACGGAAGAGGAGGCGGGTGGAACCAGGACATTAGATGTAATCAAATCTTCTCATTGAGGGGACATGGGTGAGGGAAGCCGAAACCTTCAAGAAGAAGCACTGCTCCAAATAACAGCAGACTCTCAATTATGTGAGGACACAGGGTCAGGTTCCCTAGGCTGTGACTGGATTGGGCAAACATTTATTGAGTGCCTACTGCGAGTAGAATCTACAATTCTACTGGCCACTCATGTTTAGGAGTGCCTGCTTCTTTGCATACACCTTATTTAATCCTCTCAACAGCTCTGAAGACAGTGTTATCATTCCATTTTACAGATAAGGAAGGGGAAGCAGAGAATTTTTCGGGGACCCTGGAAACTACACCAAGGTGGACCCTGCACCCACCATTGTGAATCTCATCTCCTCCTTCCTGAGCTATTATCTGAGGGCCAAAAGACTAGCCCTAGACTAGAATGTGGAGCATCCTGCAAGGACTCACCTGAAGAGGTAAGCCAGACCTGCCTTGTAGGGGCCATGGTTCCTGTCCTACATTCCTCTCAGTGAATCTGGTGTCAGGTGTGCTCACTGGTAGTTCTGTGAGTCTGAATATCTAGTTGAGCCTAAAAGCGAAGATATTTCTAGTAGACCTTGCAGGTGCTACTTGATTCTCCCTCCCGGAGAGCCCCTATAAAGCTGATATTCTGTAACTACTTGTGCAGTGCTGTGTATTTTCCCTCAAATGGCCATCACATTGCAGAGCAGGAGGAGTGGCCTGTACTTAAACTTCACCCTTAAAACCATCACCATCACTACTGATCATCATCACCATCCTCAAAATTACCATCATCGCAACCACCATAAGAATCTGTGATTTCAGCTACTTCCTGTTACCTCTCTCTCCCTTCTCCATGTCAGTATTATTCCCATTTTGATTGTGTCTGCCAGCATTTCCTCTTGTGGACAGCCTCTCCTAGAAGAACACTGAACAGAGAGTCCTACCTTGCTGCCGGACTCGGTCTAAGACAAATCTGTCAGTCTCACAATGTTTTATCATCTAAAACATGGGAAGAATCATTCTTGCCCCTGGGGACATGCTCTGACACTGAATTAGCTCCAGTTCTAACCAACAAAACGATAGAACAATCTAAACATTTTAAAGGTGAGATGAGCCCTGGCATGTGTGGCTCAGTGGATTGAGTGCCTGGCCTGTGGACCGCAAGGTTGCTGGTTCAATTCCCAGTCTGGGCACATGCCTGGGTTGCAGGCCAGGTTCCCAGGTGGGGGCTCACGAGAAACAACCGATCGATGTATCTCTTGCACATCGATGTTTCTCTCCCTCTCTTTCTTCCTCTCTTCCTTGATCTATAAAAGTATATAAATAAAATCTTAAAGAAAAAAAGATGAGATAGCCTAAATATAACTGTATCTGACCACATTTGGATGGCACCAAAAGCAGTTAGCATCCCTGTGCATTCCCCTCCCATTCACTGGCTGTCTCCAAGCACTCACTGGCCTGTCAGACCGGAATGGATAGATCATGGTGTCGCTGTGCATCCGGGAAATTATGTTTTCCTAAAAGCCTAGAAGGAAGGAAAACAATGTGAAAACTCTCAGTATTTTAGCTTAGCTCACTCTGCTTCTCTCAGAAAGTGAGTGACTGCATGCAAGGTGGATATAAGAAGGAAAAAATTAGAGAGATAGACATGGGCCAGGGAGAGGCAGGTGGATAGGAGGAGATACTATGAGAAGGAGAGACCAGAGCACCAAGCAGGCCAGAGTGGGTGTGCTGGGTGGCTCAGAGCCACAGGGAACAGAAGAGGCCTGTGTGTGAGGGTTCCTCCCTCGTGTAAGTGGGCCTCCCCCCAGGTGTAAGTGGGCCCAGGTGTACCAAAGTGGCAGGTGGCATCTGCAGGTATCTCATAAGTGATGCCGTGGGACTCCTGCTATCTTATGCAAGAGGGCTCATAGAAGGAGCACTTGAATGCCAGTTAGGAGACCTTGCTTCTAATCCCAGATGAGCAAGTTTGAGCAGACTGCTTCCCTTCTCTGGGTCCCAGCTCTCAACTGCAAAGCAAAGGGGCTACACTGGTTGATTGTACAATCTCTTCCTTATTCAATTCTCTCAGTCTTCAGATCTATGGAACCCTGAGTGACAGACAGTGCTGATGCTCCTCTATCTCATCCATGCTTCCACCAGGGGAAGAGAATACTTCCCTGCCCTACCACCTCTTTTATGTAAGGTTTGTTGGTAATGTGCATTGGCCAATGTCTGTGGGTAGAAGGAACAGTATGGCAATACTGAGCTGAAGCTTAGAGAAGTATTGCAAATATCAACCAGTCCTTTTGTGTTCCTGCAATTGGTTAGGAGAAGAATGGGCCCCTGTAGCCCCTTCTCATTTAACATGGGTCCCAGCATGAGGAAACATTCAGAGCAGGCCCAAGCCCAATGCACAATTGGAAGCTAAGCCCAGCCAAGCCCAGCAGAGCCACAGCCATTTCGTAAACTCATGGATGGAAAATGAATGATTCTTATTGTAAGGCCCGGGAACATGGGAGTTGTTTGTTACTGCAGCCAAGGCTGACTAATACACCACGTGACAGGAAAGCATGTCATAGATGCTCACATCAGGGACAGATCAAAAGCCTGCCTGAAGGAGAGTGAAGGGCAGCTGGAGGGGTCCCTACAGGAAGGGCCTCCAGTGCTTCCCCCTCCGTGCCAGAGCCCCATACTTCCATATGGAGACACACCTGGTTTTTGGCATCAACAAACCAAGTCTCAGCAGGAATAGGAAGGGAGTTTTGTGGCAAAGGGAACTAAATGAAAATGCCTCAAAGTCAAAATCCTCCCATTAACAGTCCTCTTTTTTCCATCGTCCTCCAGACCTGATCAGTTAGTCTCTTTCACTGCCTACATACTATCATTAAAAATCTCTTGAACTAGGAGTTGATGTATTGGTTTTGCTAGCATGAAGTGGCAGCAAGATGCTTAGACAAGTTTACAAGTTCCGGCATCACTGGTCTCTGGCTGCTATAATCAGTATGCAAGTCTCCAAAGTCTCTGGTTCTAATATGAAAGGACCCCAGAGGGACTCACATGAATATCATCCCAGCCAAATTCTAGCTAATAGATGTTTTTCTGCCAAACAAGGCAGTGTAGCATTTTGATATAATACACAAACCAATGCCCAGAGAAGACAGCTGTGGAAGGCAGTCAGCACTATGGCCTGGGGGGTCATCTGAAAGTTCCGGGTCAGGATGTGCAACCAGTGCTTAAGCATGTTTCATGTCACTCAGGGAAAACCAGGGCCATTCCCTATCTTCTGAATTATTTGGGCAAAGACTTCCAAGTTAATAGCCATAGTCATTTCTTGGGAAAAGCAAAAAGACCCAGCCCTCCACCAACCAACCTAGCAAGAGGGAAGACAGAAGAACATAGATTTGGGAATGGGATAAGCAGAAACTGAAGTGGTGAATTTCCAACTTTTTCTAAACACTGAATGAAGCCTTTTAAACAGAATCTTACCTGAAAAGGAAACATATGTCAATAGATAAAAGAACAGAAGCTCAGGGTGAGGCAGGGGTGAAGTTTCAGAGCCTGTCTTGGCAGCATTCCATTGCTCCCTCCTGAATGACACTGGGCGTGGAAGCCCAGCACCGCATACAGTTTGAAAATGACTAGACTAGGGAAACCTCGGGCATTGGAATAGGCTTATGGAAAGCTGAAAAAAGGAGGCAGGTATCACTGATACTGTTTCTGGGCATTTTGCTGAGAAAAGAATGGAATTCAAGGCACAGGCATTCCTTGTTTGGCTGGGCAGCCATGGGGTACACAGCAGAGAGGGAAGCCCATAGCATTCTGCTAAAGGCAAACAGACTGACTGACTTTTCACAAATCTTAGTGGCAAGCCTCCTTATCTTTATATTCAGCCAGGTAAGACAGGTTCGCCTGGGAAATATTTAGATCTTCCTTCTTTCCCTGCTTCCCCCTCCTCTGCACTGAACCGCTGGCCCCTCTCAAGCTCACAGGTTCAAAGCTGGTGCCTGCTCTGCTTTGACCTTTTCAAGGGCAGGACCTAAGGGGTTTGTCTAACTCACCATCATATGGCTCCCCACTTCCCCTAGAGACAAGCCCCCAGACTCACCTACGCACACCACATCCATGAATCCATACATCCCGTAGCAGATCTGGAAGAGGAGGTCTTGGCGCTGCCATTTTGCTGAGGGACTGAAGGTTGACCAGATGAGCCAAGAGATGCTGGCAATGAGGAAAAGGGAACCCAGGATGGCAGCTGCAATCTGGACCTTCTCAATGACTGTCAGAGAGATGGCCTGCCACTGCGGGAAAGACAATGATAGCTTAGCTGTTGCTCAGATACCCTCACCCCATTCCCAGCCCACTCCCACTCATCCCCCTTCAGTTGTCGCAAACTCTCACTTCCGGTTTAGGATTCAAACCAGGGCTTCCCAACTAGTGATCCAGTGGATATTTTTGCAAGTTTTTGAGTTTTACATTGTACTTCTGATGGGGAGGAAACCTATATCACACCACATGATCAAAAGTCATTATGGGGTTGGGGCTCTGGGCAGGCATGGCTGGGAAGGGAGGTTTTTGTAATTGCTTATGATACCTACAGAGAAATGGAAAGGCGGAAGTGAATCGCAGCATTAGTGTGAGTGGTGTTCCAGGACCCAGGAATATTCTTCTCGGAGCAGCACTATTTATTTTCACACTAATAGGTGCTGAGAGGACGCAGGCCTTTCTTTACTTTCCTACAGCAGCACCTGGCCGGCCATTTGATGCACATGCCAGAGATGACCAGTTCAAAGGACAAGAAGAGGACACAGGGTATGAGGGAGAGATAGGAAGAACAGTATAATTTACTGACTATATATGAACACTGAGATCTCATTTTTCAGTGGAAGAAGTATTATACCAATAGCAGTATTGATGGATGGGTTATAGGTGTGGGTAAGCTTGAATTCAGAAATTCTGCTCTTCTATGGCTGACCTAGGGAACAGAGGCCTAAATGAGGCTGGAGTTGGGAATTAGCTTGGGATCTAGTCACGCTGTCATTCAGTAAATAAGTACTGAGTATTCTCCACGTGCCAACTGCTCTGCTAGGTGCAAGAGACAAAGTAGTAAGCAAAAACATATAAGATTTCTGCTCTTATGGAGCTTACAATTTAGAAAACGGACGACCATATAATTACTTACAAATGTAATTTATCAGGAGTAAGAAAGGGAGGTACACAGCACTGTGAAAGTCTATGACATGGGGCTTTGACTTCCCAGAGGAAGTGATGCTTGAGCTGAGTAGGAGTTTACTAGGGGAAGGCAGGAGGGGTGAGCAGTCTGGGCACAGGAGAGAATGTGAGCAAAGGCACTGTGAGTATGAAACCCCGGAAGAAGGCCAGTGAGTGGAGCAGAGAGACCAAAGAGACTGTGGGGTGAGAAAGCTGGAAATATAAGAAGGAAAGATCGTGTGGAATCTTGAAGAATATGCACAGATTTTTTACTTTATCCTAAGAGTAAACACTACGTTTCGAACAATTTTAGGCAGTGAAGTTGAACAGTTTTACAAAGAGAACGCTGGGGAAGGTGAAGGGTAGGGCAGTCTCCTAATTGTAGGAATTTGTGTAACACCTTGTGGAAAACAGCCCCCAAAGCATTTCCACCTGCACTGGAGGAAAGGCTGCCTTCCATCTGCCAACAGTGAGCCCTCGCTCTGTGTTAAATGGCCGGGATGGGAGCCCTGATTCTCGCTCTAGCTCAGACTGACCAATGGCCCGCAGGGAACTGTAACCATTGGAAAACATTTCACTTTTAGTCTAGATATAGGACATCAGCCTTTACATTTAATTATACAGATAGCGTCCCATTACAGGTAATTGGGCCTTTAAATTTTCCACTGCTTCCCTCAGCCTAGGGTTACACACAAGGGATTTTTCCAGAAGATAGACTGATCCTACAGACTTTGCTCACACAAGACAAATGCTTTTTCCAGAGCCCGCCCCACTGTCTGTGAAGAGGGTTTCTGACTGAGCGCTTTGTCGCTGCGGTGAAGTTATCAATAACCCTCACTTTCTTGTGCTCCAGACTTCAAAAATCCCAAATCCAGGGGCACAGAAAGGTCCCCCTAATTCCTAAAGCCCTTTTTACCAGCCCCCAAGCCACCTATGGAAACTAAACAGGGCCCCTGACCACAATCTGAAGCACCATGAGCAAGGACCGGGTGCGGGGGCCACCGTCAAGGCTCTCCTCCTGTCTGTCCCATGGGAGGCCCCGCAAGCAGCGTCAGGAGCAGAAGTGCAAGGAGAGAGCCGAGAACAAGAGACTGACATCTCAAAGAGAGGCTGGGAAGGCGAGAAGGGCCCCACAAGTTCCAGGTTCTGCCACCGCCAGACATCCTGGAGCTTAGCTCCAGGACAGATTCTGTGCGCAGTGTCTTGATATTCTCTGTGTTCTGCCCCACAATGAATGCACCGACCGAGGGGGAGGAGCTCGAGGCCTGCCTGGCCGCTTCCTTCCTTATAACAAGGAGCACTGAGCACAGCACTGGTGACCCAATTCTAGCTGAGCTCTGCCCCAACTTGGGGAGTGTGACCTAGGAGAAGTCCAATACATCATAAAGACTCAAGTTTCTCTTTTGTAAAAGTGGAAATAATTGGTCTCACTTCCTAGAGTATTATGAGAGTTAAATAACTCTCTAATCAGTGCTTTGAAGTGTATGGGCTGCCATTGTTTCTATTCTTTATTATGTTTCATCAAAAATACAGTTAGGCATGTGGGGGTGGGGTCTTCCTGAAGGTAACCATACTCAGCAAACGCAGTGCTGTGCACTGTAGGGTAAGCTTTAAGGGCCTGACGCAGGAATTAGGCCCCTTGGATGCAACCCTGCTCCACCAGGGTAACCCCGAGCACAATGCTGACCCTTCTGTGCCTCCGCTCTTTCATCTGTAAATTGGGAATACTAACAGTACCCCCTGCACTGGGTTGTTTTCAATATTAACTGAGATGATGTATATGAATACTTAGAACAGCGGCTAGCCCCCAGTAAGCAGCAAACGTTAATCTAATTGCATTTCAGGTATAGCCGAGACAGCCACGAAGTTGAGACCACAGGGCCACACTGAGACTCCTCCTGCTAGACCCTGAGCTTGCAGTCACCGAGATAACATGCTGTCACAGCCACTGTTTCTCACGACTTCGTACGAGGCCTGGAAGAAACCTCCCCACACTGAGCACAGGCAGCCCTGGGCCCCCCACCTATTACTCTGCCCCCTCGCAGGTGGTCTGGCTGGGCTATGGGGGTGGAAGTTGCCCCCCTGAGGCTCAGCAGGCAGCTGCTTCATACTTGGCTGGGCCCATGGGGCCCACACACAAGTGGGACGGTTTGGGCCACAACCATACAGCACTGCTGCCAGTCCAAACGACTGCCTTCGTCTGGCGCTGTCTGCAAAAGTGAAGTGGCGTGTACTGAGCATGCACTGCTGCACTTCCAAAAGTAACATAGTAGTAACCTAACAATAAATTAGTAGATCAGTTTCGTCGACACTGCCATTTGCTTACTGTACTAATGAGATTAGAATAACCTTCCCCTCCTCTCTCACTCACACCCCAGGAAAGAGCTATCCATAAACGGTTTTCCATTTTATGAGTCAAGGGCCGGTGCCCGTTGTGAGCCAAAGGGGCACTTAGGGGTAGACGGGTAGGTTTGACTCTGCCCGTTCTCCCAGGCTTGAGTCAGCTGAGGAGGCAGGGGAGAGTTAATGCACCCAGGGCCTGCAGTCAGCTGTCTCGTGACATTGCTATTTTAAGACGCTGCAAGATTTGAAATGAATGACTAAAGACGGACCGGCAGGGGGAGAGGCACCTCTTGTTCTGACCCCTCGGTACACCACCAGGATGGCTAAAGTGCCTGGAGGGGTTGGGGGGATGCAGTGCCCCGTGCAAAATTGCATAGTGTGTAATTTTATCTACAATAAAATGCCCTGGACACTGCAGCTCCGCGTTTTCAGGTGGCCCCGCCCCCTCATGCAGAGACCCCACCCTGCCATCACCACCAAACCCCCTGCCCTCCTGGGCTTGCGGGATCAGCTCTCTCCTCCGCCTCAGAGAGGAGGAGTGAAACAACCGTGCAGCCCAGCCGTTCAGGTTCCCATCCTCACTAGCCTGATGGTTAATAGGTTACATGGCAGCTTAACTGGCTGACTGTGCGTAGGTGGAGGTATGTCAGCAGCCGAGTGCTCTCTATATGCGTGGGCCTCCAAGGGAAAGCTGTTTGGGTTGGAGGATACATGAGGCGGTACAGGGCCCGCTGGCTCCTCTGGGGTGTTGGGTGTGTCAGGGCGGGGTGTGGGGGATGAGGTAGGGGACCCCTCAGTGCTCACAGGTTCAGCCCTGTCTGAATCTGCCTGGCAGGCCCCCCCCACCCCTGCCATCCTGAGCCCTGGCTCCCCCTGCCCTAGCCCTTCATAGTAGCCTCTCCCCTTTTCCTTCTTCGTGATTGCCCTTCTCTTTTCCTCTGCCTCCCTCTCCTGTCTCTTCTCTCTTCTTCTCTGGTCCCTTGTCACAAGAAGGGTGATCTGTGAACCAGCAGCATCCGTATCACCCCCATCACCTGACAGCTTATCAAGAATGCAGAAGCTCAGGCCCTTCCCCAGACTCCTGAATCCTGTCTGCGCTGTGACAAGGTGAAGTGCATGCACATTAAGGTGTGGGAAGTGCCTTTGTGCCTCCTCTCCTCTTCTTCCTTTCCCCACCCTTGGCTTCATCTCAGTCTTGCTCCTCGCTCCGCCCTCTGTCTTTTTTCCCATCCTGCCCTCTTCTGCCCTCTGGTCTTCCTTCCTTCCTTCCTTTCTTTCTTCTTTTCCTTTTTCCTTCCTCCCTTCATCCTTCCTTTTTCTTTTCCTGTCCTTTCTGCTTCCATCCATCCATCCACCCACCTCTTATTCTCTCTTCCATCTGACTCTCCACACTTCTTTCCTTCTATATCTATTTCTCTCTCTTTCTGCATTCCCTTCTCCTCTCCTTGCTGAAGCTTGAGAAAAAACCCACAAAAGTTATTTCAACTTTCCTTGTCCAAATATCATCTGTGGTCTTATCCACCTAACCCATCTCATGCCTTTTCTCCAAACGTCCCTGACCCTAAGGGGACATGGTCCTCCCACCAGAAAGCCAGGACTGTGGGAGACCGCAGGTCCCAGCACCCCAGCGCCCCCAGCCAGCACGCAGCCCCTGGTTGTACCTGCAGAGGATTCTTTGTGCTTATGGCAATGACGTGGTACTTGTAGTAGCATAGCTCACAGCTCCAGCAGCCCCGTTCGCTGATCCACTTGATGAGGCAAGGCTGGTGGGTACACTTGACAGAGCCGTCGCAGCGGCACGGGCTCAGCAGCTCCCCCTGCAGGGAGAAAGGCACAGGGTGGTGAGGCCCAGAGTCTGGCTGACAGGCGGGGGGCGGGGCGGGGGGGGAGGGGGGCAGGCTGGCTGTAGGGGGCAGGTGTGGGCAGGCCAGAGCACGCCACCAAAATCAAACCACGGGCTTTGTTGGAAGACACCGGACCCCACAGAGAAGACTCCAGTCTCCCCGCTGTGGAAGCCAGGCAACTTCAGGGAACTCAGCTAACAGTTCTAGGCCCTGGGTCCCATTCGGTGCTGCCTACATCCTAGGGCTTCTGTGAAAATGAGTGAGTGGATTCCTAGGGAAGCCTTTTGCCATCTGAAGGGGGTGTCAGCCTCAGCTGCCTTCTCTTTAAAAACTCAGTCAGGGGTCTCAAGTTCAAATGCTCTCAAGGTTAGATAGGCAACACAAGTGACAGAAACTAGCTGGTGGAAAATGGGACAAATTGGAAGGCACAGACTTAAGTTAAAGGGATGGCCACTCAGCTCCAGCCAGCTGTAGACATGGAAATCCATGTGGCAATTTTTCTGTCCTCACCTGAGGACATTCTTTTCATTGCTTTTAGAGAGAGAGGAAGGGAAAGAGGAGAGAAGCATCGATGTAAGATAGAAACATGGACTGGTTGTCTCCTGTACCCGCCCAGGCTGAGGCTCCTATGAGCCCAGACCAGGGATCACACCTGCAACCTAGGTATGTGCCCTGACTGGGAACTGAACCCACAACCCTTTGGTTACAGAGTGTCACTCCAACCAACCAAGTCACACTGGCCAGGTCTGTGTGGCAATTTTCATGTAAAATCTCCAATACTCAAATATTAACAGCTAGTGCAGTGTTTTGCCCAAGTTTAGTGCTCTGATCTTGAGCTTTTGCATTATGCTGCAGACCCGCTCATAGAGTCCCAGGTCCCCTCTGTGAAGCCTCTCCACCTGGGTGTCAGAGTGACAGAAGCATGGCAGGGGGCCAGGCTTGAGTCCAGTGGACCCGAGGAGGTTGGGCTGGCCGGGCCCCTCTGGACAGCCTCAGGCCTTGCCGGGAGTGGCTGGGATGGTCAGTCTGGGGGAACGGGAAGCAGGGAGGCAAAATGCCTGCTCTGCTTTTCCACTGTTGACAGGCCATCTTCTCTGTGGCTCCAGGCCCTTCCCACACCTCTGTCACAGCATTTACCCACTGGCCTCTGGGTCACAACACTGTTATCCCTCACAGGGACAATATCTTACTCATCTCTGTATCCTTAGCACCTAGTTCAGCACCGAAAGCAGGCACTCTGCCCAGCTTTGACAGTGGAATGTGTGCATATCTGTCTGATGAACAAGAGGTTGTATTCCTCTAGGACCCGGGCAGCTCTTGCTCCAGGTGGGCAGCTGTGGCACCTGGAAGAGGAGTAGAGAAAGACAGAGATGCCAATGACTGGGCACTCCTGGCTCCCATGAAAGGCTAAGAGCCCTTGGAATGGGGTTGCCACTGCGTGTCTCTGGGAAAGGAACAGGAGGAGGGGCTGTGGGGAGAGGTGCTGCTGGGGAGAGGCAAAAGCCCTCATTATTCATGGCAGCATTTCTTAGGCTCATTTATTCTAACAGGGCGAGCTGGATTTGATTAATCGGGTTGTTAAGCAGCCATGTCAAATTGCCGATCAGGTAAGAGACGTTACTCTTGGTCCCTGGCAGTGGCACCAGGTGACACTGAAGGCTGCACTTCTTGCTTCCCAAGCAGCAGACATGTGACAGGGCAGGTGTAGCTGGGCCACAACTGATAATAAGACCTGGGCTTTCTATCATGACTCTAGATGGGAGCCACTGGGGCTCCCATTCCCAATGTATTTATCTGGGAAGGGGGTGGTGGGGGGCGTGACCTGCTCCCAGTGCCTGGCTGTGCAGCTTCCCTTGGAGCTCCTGGCCCCCCACTCTCTCCCTTAGGACTGGACAACCCAAGAGGCAGAATAGGGACTTTTCAGGTACCACAAAGAGTAGAAAGCAAGGACACCAAAGCTGTTTTAAAAAGTTAACTTTGATGAAGGAAGCAATCCAGAATTTTAGGGAAAAAGCAGACCTGCAAGAAGCTATTTCAACCTTGGTGTTCATGCAAGTTTTGTATTTTATGGTTTTAGTATATTACTTATATTGGGAGGAGAGTCACAATCTTTTTTTTTTCTTTTTTTTTGGTATGTTTAGGGCTCTAAGAGGGCTTAACTGGATACTTTACTGTCTTTGACTGGTCAGACCTGCACCTCATCAAGAGCAAGAGAAGTGGAAATGAGCCAACAGCTGGACAGATTCAGGTTAGACTTAATGATGTTCTTCGCAGGAAACTGTTAAAGGCTAACATGGTAGAACATGGAAGCTGAGGTGGTAAACATCTCTCAATATAAGAGGGACCTCTATCGAAGAGAGAGGTTTGATGGCCAACTCAAGGTCACTTAGCTAGCCAGTGGCACGGCCAGAATGTAAATCTTTCTGACATCAGACTCTGAACTTCTCAACACACGAGTCTGCTCACTCCCTTTCTGCAACCTGCTCCACGCCATCCCTCCCCCACCTGTGCCCCTGGGTCTCTTCTCTGTCTCTCCTTCCCAGATCCCACACCTTCCCTGGCCCAGCTCTGGCCCCTCCACCAAGATACAAACTTGTTTCCTTTTCCACATTTTGTAATTATTCTCTCATTGTTTTTTTCTGGGATTTGAGCTGCTCCGGCATACCCCCTAGAATGGGCACACTGACAGGACGGGTCCCAGGAGGTGGGAGAGGACCAGCCCCTCTGGCCAAGCTCCTGAGGCCCCAGCCTTTGGCCTGTGAAGATTATTGTGCTCTTGTCTGTGGAGCTCCGCAAACTCCACAGATCAAAGGGGCTTATTAAATGCAAAAGGCACCACACACTTTCTTGATGGTCTGCTTTGAGATTTGGGGCCTAGCAACTGCCCTGAGAATGACTCAGGTGAGAAAAAACAGGTCTTCTCTAATCCCAGGCTCCCACGAGACACTGTGTGGGATAGGAGGGAAGAGTGTGGTGTTTGGAGTCAGACTCCTTAGGTTTGAATGCCTCTTCACCACTTACTAGCTGTGCAAACTTGGGCAAGCTTCTTAACCTCTCTGAGGCTGCGACTCCTCATCTTTCCATTGTTGGCAACTCTTACCTTCTCCAGGGTGGATATAAGGCTTGTCTGAGATCGTGCACACAAAATGCTGGACACAGTGCCTCGCACAGCTAAGTCCTCTTGTGGAAATATTACAATTCTAACTCAAATTTTCCTAAGGATTTTAATTTCATAGTTTTTTCTACTCCAGTTCTACTTGATTTTCCTACAACAAAATAGTTAAGGAAGGGATTGCCCTGGCTGGGTGGCTCAGTTGGTTGGAGCATTGTCCTGTACACCAAAAGGTCTGGATTTGATCCCTGGTCAGGGTACACACCTATGTTATGGATTCAATCCCTGGTCATGGCGCATATAGGAAGCAACCAATCTATGTTTCTCGCTCACATTGATGTTTCTCTCTCTCTCTCTGTCTCTCTCTTGCTCCCTTTCTCTCTCTCTCTCAAATCAATAAACATATCTTTGGGTGAGAATTTTAAAAAATAGTTAAGGAAGGGAGCCAAGCCTTAAGTAAAAGGTCAACTGAGCCCAGAGAAAGGTTGAAACTAAAGAACTAAGAGTCTGCCCTTCTGAGGTGGGTAAGTGGCCAGAACATGGATCTCCTGACTTCTGGCCCAGGACTGTCCTCTGTATTATCATGAGGTCACTGAGAAAGTTTGGGGGCTCCCATCCCTGGGGATGCTGAACAGAAAAGGGTGAGCCCTTGGATGGGTTAAGTGGGGTCATTCTAGAGGCAGGAGGCAGGTCAAGGTGAGCCACCACCCTTGGCTGTGGCTGAGCTGGATGGTGGGAAGAGAACAGGATGGGGTCTCCTTCCTGCCAATGACACAGCAAGCGGCAGCTCCTCCATTCACAGGTTTCTTTATGTTTATTTTGGGCCTGCTTCATTTTTCCCCCTCTCAATCTGAAAGCACTTGCTTCTGGAGTCCTTCAGTGACCTGGCTGCTATGGCATGGCAGGTAAGCCAAAGACTTCTCCTTGCACCTACACCAGGCATCCCGGCCATGCAGCAGAAAGAAACAGATCCAGGAGAGCCAGGCAAAGGCAGCCCAGCCCTCTGCAAGGTGCAGTTTAAGGAGATCAAAGCAAAGGAGCTGAAAGAAACACCAGCCTTCGGGTATAGTTCAGAGGCCTTTTCCTTTAGTGAGACTAGTGTGGTGGGTAAGAGTTTGGGCTCTAATCTCAGACAGACTTGGGTATATCCAAGCCCTTACAATCTGCATGACCCTGAGTGAGCCACTTAACCTTTCTGGGCCTGATTCAATCATTCTTTTATTCATTAAACATTGATCTGGTACATTCTAAGTTCTGTTATGGGTGTCAGAAATATAGCAGTGAAAGGAACTAAACAAAATTCTCTAGGAGGGAGAGACAGACAATAAAAAAGATTAGGAAACAGTAAGTACCTAAGCTGCTATCATGTGCTATGGAGGAAAATAAGCAGGGAAATGGAATACCAGGAAGGTGGCGAGTTGGAATTCTAAATACACTGCCTATGGAAGGCTTCACCAAATGGAGACATCTGAGTGAAGACCTGAGGATGCTAAGAAGCAAGCCATGCAGGTGTCTGGGGACAGAGCATTCCAGGCCGGGGGAACAAAGACCCCAGGGCAGAAGCATGCTTGGCATGTCCCAGGGACACTAAAGTGGCTGGTGTGTCTGTGGTAGTATGAATGAGACAAGAGAAGTGTGAGATAAGGTCAGAGATGTACAGGGGATGAAAAATAGTGGTAATTAGGTGAGGCCAGTGGGTTATTTACTGTGAATGAGATGGGAAGTTATGAGAGTATTTTCAGCAGAGGACATGACTCAATCTGACTGGGTTTGATGGGATCACTCCTGCTGCTGTATTGAAAATAGACTAGAAGGAAGTAAGGGCTGAGCAAGGAGACCAAAGGCTGCTGCAGTGATCCAG